TTCACAAGCCTCGCACTTCCGGCCTTAGCGGTCTTTAAGTACGCGGCCCTTGAGGATCGTTGAGGCTGCGTACTTTAAGGCTGCAGACCCTGAATTGGGATACAGCCTCTGTCAGCCATGATCTGCTGTGTGTCTCCACAGACAGTCCTTTACAAACATAACTCAGTTTTCTCACCTGTTAGTGTGCAGCATTATGGGAGGTGAGTTCTTTAACTACTCTTTACAGAGATCTTAAATTTTTGGTATATATATATATATATATATATATATACGCATTTGAAAGAAGACCCATTACTAGCCTGTTTCAATTTATTCAGTGATTGTTGAAAGTCTCTCTTTCTTGTGGCTTACCATGTAAGGCAGGTTGCCGACTCAGCTGCTCATTTATCATATGGAAATCCTGGTTTAGGCTGCCCAATTTTTAAATTTGAAACACACATTTTTTAAAACTTCCATTTTCGCTTCTAATATTTTCATAAATGCAACAAATCTGTGACAGTCATGTGATGGTTTCGCCCAAAACTGTAGCCATGCTTGGGACACTCCCTGCTGATCTTGAGACTGTAGTTCCTCCTAAAGTCTGTAACGGTTACCTGGGTGAGCGTGGCTAAGGCCCTGTCAGTCCCTGTTCCCAGAGCGGTAAGGTTACAGCTTTTCCTGGTACCTGTTCTTCACCTTCGGCCTTTTTTATCAGACACAGCAACAACGTTTGGTTCAGATGTTTACTAGTGGATTTCTATATGTGAGTTAAATGCAATGAAAATCCAAAACATTTTAGAACTGGCCCCTTACTATATATTATTATGATTCAATTAATGTTTTTCATCAAGTTGTGAAGGTAAAACTGAAAACTGAAGACTGTGACGCAGTTTGAAATATTATGAAAGCTTGTTTTCACAGGTGAAGAAGAAAAAAATACCAGGCAGGTCCAAATTTAAAATTACAGAGTCAGGTATCTCAAACTGAATAGAATACATAACTCGACATGTTGTAACTTGTATTGTATTGTATTGTAACCCCCCCCCCATCCCCTGACCAGCAGCAAACAAGCTTGACTACAGAGCAAATATTTAAAGAACTTGAGAACTTGTCAAGAATATGGATTCAATCTTACCTGATGATGAAAGGTGACAGAAAAAACAATAACAAAAAGAACCTTAGCAGCATTTTTACTTTTATTGTAAGTAGAGCCCAAAAACTAAGTAACTAATCAGTGTTTCCTTCATACACCAGGACCGTGTCCTGCTAAACTTGTTATTCCTGTATCTTCATCTTGGAGAGCATGCAGAGGAAGAGGGACCACGTGACCTTGCTAAGCTTCACTGAATTGGTGTGTTTAGGTAAAGCACAGCTTAAAAGTACATTTGGCATTCTTCTGTAAGCTACTCATTATCTTTATTTATTCACATAAACCAAGGATACTACTGTTGCAGACCCCTTGTTCCTGTGCTGCCATGATAGGTTGCTTTTCTTTGCTTTAATAAACTCCTGGTTGCTTTGGCTGTATGTTTTGGGTCATTGTTCATTGGTCATTGTATTATGAAATGCCACCCAATCAATCTGACTGTATTGAGCTGGATTTGAGCAGACAGTATGCTTGCACTTCGCAGTGAACCGTCTGTATTTACATTCATGCAGTCTTCTCTTTACTTGAATATGGATATGCCGACCGCCTACCTCAGGTCTTTTAACTCAATAGTACATATTATTAAGGTTATGATGTAGAATAAATATACAAATATTTATTTTATTTTAGAGCGACACAGTATATTTGACACCCTTATCATTTGTTTATTATTTATTTTAATTTACATAGTTTACAAGATTGAATAGGTATAGGTACAAGTATTTTATGTAATCATTATATGAATATGAATCCTTTTACATTTTTACAGATCAAAAATTTTACAGATTAAACATCTACTGACCAAACTTCCAGCTTTGCAAAATTTTATACTGGGGCATCATGGTGAGAAGAGAGCTGAACGTAAAAGCAAAGCTCTGGATTTACTGGTCGATTTACATCCCTTACTCTTGCCCATCATCACAAGCTCTGGATGGTGACCAAAAGAAATGAGCTTTCTCCAAAGGGTAGCTGACCTCTCCCTTAGCGATAGGGATGAATGGATCAATTGATGGATGGATCTTTTAAGATTTGTTTATTTAATTTTGATTCATAGCTCCAGAACAAAAATATGCAGTTTTGTAACACACCCACTATGACTTTGGGTGAAAAAAACTGTTGTTATTGTTCTACGATTAATGTAATAAGTAGATGGTCATTTAGGCATTGTCTTGGGAAAGGAAAATGTAGTTCCTCTCATTAATGTAAGGGGGTGCCAGAAGGTTGTCTTTCTAAATGAGGTTTGGCTCCCCTTGGTGGTTAAAGATTTATTTGTTAGACTGTGCATTTAAATAAATGTGTGTTTCAACTCTAAATGTCACCAGACGTTAAACACAGTGACAAAGATCATTAATTCACAAGTTTACAGTGATTATAACAAGTGAAGGCTTAATTAAAGACAAAGTAAAATGTTTAGATTCCAAAAAAAACACCACCACAAAAATAATATGTACAAATAGAATACAGTAGGTTCTGGTTATGTGTTACATAACACATACCATTACAGCAATTACAAGTACATTCTTTTTAAAGTTACTCAACAGTACATCCTGAGGGCAATCCAAGGAGTTTAAGAAAAACAAGGTAAGTGAACAGGGTGCATCACATAGTTAATATAAATCTCTCCAAAATGTGTTCAGTATTATGGTCTTAACTTTAGTAAGACCTTCAAATTACAAACTGAAACCAGTGATAGTACTTCATCCTGTCAAATTGTATTGTTTAAGACATTTACTATTTAACTCTGTGCATAATCTGATATAAATGACCATAATGCAATATCTTTATCAGATATAAAAGGAATTTTAATCTTGTAGTTCAGTGAAAATTTCACCATCATTAATGTGATCAACGCTTGTTATCTTTAAGCCCATCCAAGAGTTTTGTGGAAACTCAGTGTTTGTGTAAGGTATGCCGACACGGCAGTAGTTTTCTGTGCTGTATACTTACTGATTTTATCTTTGACTACTTATACCAAAAAAGCAGCCAGCACAGAACCAGTCTGACATACATTACCAAATACAAAACACACACAGTAACTAACACTGAGATTCTGTCACTGTTTTGGTTATTTTATGTGTTTTGTTTACTGCCAATTTCTCAATGGCAAACCACACTTCAATGGGTAATTAAAAGTAATTATAAATTGCATTGGGAGCCACTGAAGTGATTTTAATACTGGAGTAATGTGGTTTAATTACCTTTAATTAAATTTCTTAAGTGAAAGCAGGTCTGGTAACCTTATTGAGGTGATTATCAAAACAAAATCACTGTCCAAAATGATGCCAAGATTCCTAACTTACTGTTTCCTAGACAGAGATGATAAATATGAACATCTTTTTCTCTCTGACTTTTTGGACCGACAAGTACTTCTGTCTTGTCTTTGTCCAGTTTTTAAAAGTTTGTAAACAGATTTTATATCATCAGAGGAAGGTGATAAGTACAGCTGTGTATCATCTGCATAAGAATTGTATATGTTATGATTTTTTATGATTGTACCAAGTGGGAGATTTTAAAAGTTAAAGAGTAATGGACCAATGCTTCAGTCTTGAGGAACTGCTGATTAAATTTTTAATTGTGCTGTCTAAAACTGCGAAAAATAAAAACTACTCTATAGATATGATGAGAGCCAGTCAAGAACCTGACCTGTTAAACCAACTGAGTCATGAAGCCTTTGAATTAAAAAGGTCATTTTCAATGGTCTTGAAAGCAGCAGTAACATCAAGAACTAACTCTGAAACTGTGTGTGAGTCACTGTTGATCCTTAGTTCACTTTTGACTTTAGTAAGTGCTCTTATATGGTTGGCTCTGATTGTTACATCAGATTTAAGAGAAACAGGGAAAATGCCATGAATGTAGAGAACTGTTGATAATATTTACTAAATGTTTTCTAAAGTAATGACTTATAATTTGAATAGTTTGGTGGGGATCAAAGTCAAGCAAAGAGGTCCAAGACTTTAACTGGTGAATATCTTCTTCCAGATCTTTAAAAATTAGAAATGATAATGTGGACATTGTGTTTGTAGTAGTAATTTGATCCGAATGTCAGTGATGGATAAATATGAGAAGCTAAGATATTTCCTCATCACATTCACTTATTAGCTGAATAAAATTCAGTTGGTATGATTTTGGAGGGATAAATTAGTTTATCAGTGGATGAAAATAGAAAAGCAGAATTAGACTCTTTATTGCTAATCATTTGGAACATGTAGTGTTGTCTGGCTAATTTTAGCTTGTTTTTGTAGCAGTGAAGTCCTTACTGTAGATTTCAAAATTAATTTGTAGTTTATCTTTTCAATATTTTCGTTCACCTGTCCAGCAGATTCTTTTTGCCTGCTTTACCCTTTCACTGTTTCTCCAGGGTGCTTTAGGTGAACCCTGTATATTAATAGTTTTAACAGAGGCAACATGGTCAATAATCTAAGACACTGCATCATCATAGGAGGACATTATTGGTCATTTGCACTTTGAATAATAATTTCACAATCTCGTTGTACATGTACAATGACAATAAAGGGCTTTTCTTTTCTACTCTGTTTTTAATAACTGTTTCAGCTGTACTGGCATTGACATGATACTTATTGAAATCCAAGCCTCTGAAAAAAAAAACCTGATCAAGCGTGTGACTTTTTGCTTGGGTAGGGTCGATCGTATACTGTTTAAACCAAAGCATTCTAAGAAACTGATAAACTGTTTGGTGTCAGAATTGTTAGTGTTGTCAGTGGAAATAATAAAATAATCTTAAATAAAAATACAATCAAATTTACGGAGAAATACAGAAAATAAAATAATTAATTATAAAACTTGAATGTTAAACGACAGGAGATACTATAGCAGCCAGATGAAAGAATGGAGAGCAGAACTGCTTGCAGCACAATTAGGTTTGTGGATTTAGTTTCTCAGACTGCTCGGAGCCATCGTCAGGAGCTGTAATATCAAAAACAGACAGTCGGGAAGTATTCTGGTCTATTCAAAGTATAATAAGCAGGTGATTGTTTGTTTCTGTTTGCAAACACAACCCTCTCTCTGCAGAAATATTGGTGGTTATCAAGCAATTGAGAGCATAAATAAGAAACGGAATGTGTTTTGGCAAAATACAATCAGGGTTTTGCATTTATTCTTTTAATATCGTCATTCAAGACTAATTTCATTGGTTAAATTAGAAAGAAAATTGCACGGAGAATGTAATTTTCCATGTAATTACATTAATAATTACATTACAGTCTGGTGTAATTACGTAAGTACAATGGAAAACTATACATCGATGGAATCTGATCAAATGAAATTTACTTGATTGGTAGACAATCAGTTTATACCAATGTATAGCTTTTTAAATTTCCTCCCACTGAGTAGCATTCCCCATCTAACTGTGGATAAAACATGAGTTCAAAAACTAAACTCAAATGAGATTTCTTACCTTTCTCACCTTTCCTCCTTTTGTAAGCCACAAATATCACAGCTGCAATGATGGTGAAAACTAGAACAAACCATAGAACACCAACAAGGTGCTTCCTGGTGGTCCCATCAGAGAGCTTCTCTGCTGAAGAAAAGAAACACTTTATAATATGGAGCAAAAATGTGTGCAGTTACTAAAGAATTTGTAATGACCACATCACATCTGATAATTGATGAGAATGACATCTCTGATTGAAACAAAGAGCTGCACAAAACAAGAAGCACATTTGAGAGTTCAGACTGTGATGTTTGGCGAGTCGGCCTGGTTCACACAAAAATGTTCATTGCAAAGGATTCTGTGCATGCAAGTCAAGTTCTTCCACACCAAACTTACTCGTCCTTGTCTTTATGGACCTTGCTTTTTGTGGTGGGTATGAAGGGGCCATCCCCAAACTCTTTCCACAAAGTTAGGAGCATGAAATAGTCCGAAATGTCTCAGTATGCTGAAGCAGCATGCTTTACACCACTGCATCCATTGCAGTGATGTAAGGCTTGGATGCAGCTACTCAGCCATGGAAACCCATTCCATGAAACTCTCTACAGCTGTGTTGCTGTCATTCCCAGTCACTTCCACTTTGATATATAATAGCACTAACAGCTGAATGTGGAATATTTAGTAGCAAGGAAATTTCTTGCTACTAATTCGTGCTTGATTGTATACACCTTTGGCCCTGGAAGCAACTGGAACACCTGAATTCAATGATTTGGAAGAGTTGGTGAATACTTTTAGTAGTATAGTTTATTATTATATTTATACTTGTAGTTATTAATAAGTAAGACCAGGATTAAGGACTTGAATTTGAAAGCTAGAGGATGAAAAAAATATTTACAAAACCCCGCAGGATAAAGTCTCACCCCAGTTTGTCCTGATCACAGCTTGGTCCAGTTTGATGACAATGTCTTCGTTCACACCATAGAGCTGAAACACGCAGTCGTACCTCTCCCATTCTTCAGGAGTGACTGAAGGTTTCAGCTCAACACTCATCTGGAAGGACCCATCATTGTTAGGGAGGATCTCTCCTATGTCCAAGCCTTCATGAATCTCTTCTCCATCTTTCCTCCAGAACATCGTGGCTTTGTGAGGATAGAAACCTGTAGCGTGGCAGCTGACTGGAGAGGAGGTAGTCTTCTGGAGGAGAGACACTGAAGGAAGAACTGGAGAGAGACAGGCAGTTGTGTCATTATCTTTTGAATTTTACTGTACTTAAGAAATGGTGAAGCCTATGAATTAGGCCTGCTGCCATTTTACCTGCTGACTGCAAAAAGCTACTTCCATAGTGCACATATTTCTTTAAAAACTCGGGGCATTCGTGACTTAAAAAGTTTTGATTGATTTCTAATCGAGCTTTTTCAGTATCCCATCTCAGTTTGGTGATGACAGCCTGTGGTTTTGGAGCGATCCATGTCAGTGTCTGCAGGTCCAATGCTAAAAAGTCTTCTCCATCATAACCGTACTGATTGAACCCATTAATCTGTCCAGTCTCATCATCCCATTCACAGCCATTCATCCTCTGCATTATATAAACACCTGAAAAGAGAGACAGCAACAATAACTGCAATCACCAGTGAAATGTGAGCAGAGTTAAAAGGTGATATCGCACTGAGAAGAATATACCACAAAGAATTAACACGGGGTTGTTTCTTTGTAGCGTTCTTTCTTTCTGATGAACAGTTTATCAAGATTCACATTTTGTGTTCTTTGAATTCATTCACTGCTTCTTCTCTGCTATTTTTCATGTTAGCAGTGTGGTGGGAAAAATACCATCAAAAAAGACCTTCAAATTGTCATGTGCTTTGAATTATTTTCTTAGAGGGATTTTCTAATAATCGGGATAATATTTCAGCAGTAACAAGTGAAATGACCTTCACATACCTTCACTTTGGTTGAAACGTTGTCTCAAGCTGTCAATGTTAGCCTTGAAGAAGTGTTGAGTATCCAGACATTCTGAATTATACCATTCCACCTGCTGAGGATGATCCTCAAAGAATTTAACCCAGTCTTTTGTAACCTCCACCCCTCTTTTGTTATTGCAGTCACCTATCTGAACTTCATCAACAAATGCAACAACCACAAACTCTGGGATGCTCTGGGCTCCAGGGCTTTCCGTGGAGAAGAACTTCAAGGAATGTTTAACTGTGAAATTGATGGGACATTCAATTATTACATATTTTCGTGTATCATTTAAGTAGGTGAAATATGACCTTAATTCAGGTAATTTTTCACTGTAAAAACATAAATCTATCAGTGATACATCAGTGAACATAAAAAGAGATGGAAAACAATGATGTGTAATAGGAAAGGAAGAGAGCAGAAGAGACAGGATAATAGCCACACTGTGGAAGAGAACCAGAGTTTAGTAATAACTAATGATCAAATGCATAGTGGTTTATAAACAGAGAGTGAAAAGAGGTGAAGAAGAAATGTTCAGTGCATCATGGGAAGCCCCCCGAAACCT